GGAGAGGGAAAATATTTTTCTTCAGTGGAGTGAGACTTAAAGCACACTCTAGGTCAGTCCCCATGCTTAGGAAGAGTTGGTCAAATCAATCAGACTCTATGGGTTTTAGTAGCTTTTTTGAAGGTATAAGATGTAATTGGTTGGGTAGGGAAGAGGAGAAGATCTATGCGAGATTGGGGACAGCAGGAAAGAATTTGATTTTAAGTATACTATATGAATGAAGTGAGAAGGCAAAAGCACCATGACATGAATACTGCCATTTTGACTTTATACATCATTTTACCTGTAGGCTGAAATAAAGTTCAGGTTTCTTAGGCCTAGGACAGCTGAGTACTTTCCAAAAGCTCACTACATCATATCTAAACCTTGGAAATAGTCTAATTGCTTCTTTAGTCTTTCTAAACATTACAATTGTTCTTAACAACATAAGGAACAAAAGAATCTGATTGGTTAAAGTGAAAGACTTGCATTGTACATCAATTAACAATGGTGGAACACATGACAAAACCTCTGTTATCTAAATCCTGACTAGTGAAAATTGTAATTGTAACTTCACAGCAAATATTGTGAGTTTTATGCTTATAAATCCCACTGCAGTTTCTGCTTGAGGCTCGCAGTAGAAACAAGGCTCCCAAGTCCTTGTCCTAAAGCCCTGATCCATCAGTGACCCACTTATGAGGTGTATCATTAAAATCTTTGGAATCCATAAGCATTATCTCTCTCCTTTCCCGTGGCGCATAACAGGCTAGGTTTAAAAATAAAATTCTCAAAGAATACATTGTTGTTTTTTTTTAAAAAAAAAAGTAGATGGCTACAATTGTCTTCTAATGGAAATGGTCTAGTCAGTTGTTAGTCTGTGATTTGATGAAGGTCAAATGCTGTGACTGTCTGAGACTCAACTTCTTTGATACCCCAGAGTATATTTTTAGGTTGTTATTTTATTTGCCCACAAAGATGAGCAGGACTTACTCTATACAGAAACCACTTCTAATAAACCTTTATCACCCTGGAACTTACTGATGTAGGGCAAATTTATCTGCATAGTTCTTCCAAAAACCATTGGAGTTAGAGATTAATTATAGGTTTGGAAAGTAGCAGGTCAGTTTTTAAAACTTGTTTCAGCTCAAGATATTTAGAAAATCCCAAGTTCCGGACATGAACTCAGATTCTTGGCTCCTGAATCTGTTCTTTGCCACTCTGCTTTTATTTAACTGACCTATGAGCTGCTCTCTAAGTTACTCTTAAATATCATTGAGTTTATTGGCCTCAATCTCCCTTCAAACTTACTGTTTTGAGATTTTTAAATTCTAGATATCCTTGATAATCACCATGGTTTGATAGCTCTGCAAATCCTGAAAGACCTAACACCAAGCCATGGGTGTTTCAATATAAACATAATACATTCCTGTGAAAGTCTTCACATTGGCCATGAAACTCAATGTAGCTCAATAAATATATGCAAATTAAAATTCTACAAATCTACCCTTTGTGGTATAACTCATTTACTTTTGATTGTACTGGCTTGAAGTGACCAGTAAATATAAATATTTAGTATTTTTGTTACTGTCTTTATTTTTTGTATTTACTTTTTTAAAAACAAGAAAAAGGAAGAAATAAGGTCTTCCTAAAATTCAATGAAAATGACTACACAACATACCCAAATTTATGGAACACAATGAAAGCAGTGTTAAGAAGAAAGAAAGTTCATAGCACTACATGCCTACATAAAGAAACTGGAAAAATCTCACACTAGTGAATTAACAGAACATTTGAAAACTTTAGAACAAAAAGAAGCAAATCAAGAGAACTAGTCAACAGGAAATAATCAAATTGAGAGCTGAAATAACAAAATAGAAACAAAGAAAACAGTACAAAGAATCAATGAGACAAAGAGTTGGTTCTTCGAGAAAATCAACAAAATAGACAAACCTCTATCCAAACTAACCAAAATATCCAAATTAACAATATCAGAAATGAAAAGGGGGACATAACAACAGAGATGGAGGAAATACAGAGAATTATCAGATCATATTTCAAAAACATGTACTCCACAAAATTGGAAAACTTAAAGGAAATGGACAACTTTCTGGATAAATATCACTTACCAAAATTAAATCAAGACCAGATAGGAAAATTCAATAGACCTACAACTGCTGAAGAAATAGAAACAGTCACTAAAAGTCTCCCCACCAATCATTTTCATTATACAAACCAATCCTAGTTCCTACTCCTTCCCCTCCTCCCATTCTCTCCATATACTCTCTCTCTCCCACACCATCCCTATCCAATCCTCAGAGAGAGTAAGGTATATTGTTTTGTGGAAAGTCCAAGATCCTCCCTATTATATCTAGGCTGAGCAAGGTATCTATCCAAAGAGAATAGGTTCCCAAAAAGCCAGTACATGCAGTAGGGATGAATCCTTGTGCTACTGCCAGTGGTGTCTCAGTCTGCCCCAGCCATGCAACTGCACCCACATTCAGAGGGAATAGTTTGGACCTATGCTTGTTCCTTCCCAGTCCAGTTGGAGTTAGTTAGCTCCCATTAGCTCAGGTAGACTGTTTCAGTGAGTGAACCCATCATGGTCTTGACCTCTTTGCTCATATTCTCACTCCTCCCACTCCTCATCTGGACTTTGGGAGCTCAGTCCAGTGCCCCATTGTGGGTCTCTGCCTCTGTTTCCATCATTTTCTGGATGAAGGTTCGATGGTGATATTTAAGATATTCATCAGTCTGACTACAGGGAAATTCAAAATCAGGCCCCCTCTCCTCTATTGCTTAGGATCTTAGCTGGGTTCATCCTTGTGGATTCCTGGGAAATTCTCTAGAGCCATGTTTCTGATATTGGTTACTTTTTCTAAAAGACTATGATTCTTTTCTATTTCACTGCAGTGCTGCAGATAAGAGTCAGTGTAGGGCCATATTATACAGGCCCTTATTTCTACATTGTATGGTGGCCAGAGTTTCAGGCCACAGTTTGCACCTGCCACGCAGGAGGTGGTCACATAGCCTTTCCAGACAAACTGACACCATCCTAAACAAATGGGTCAAGATAGGCTAATGTCACTCTGCTCCTTCTTTGTAATTTGGGAGGTCACCTGGGAGAGATGTTAATTCAGTCTACATGACAGAGAAGACATATAGAGCAGACATAGATAGGAAGACGTGACAAAATCGGCATAGAGAGGTGTGGACGTGACCACAGCTATTTGGCTGGCTACCTAGGAAACAGAATGCTAATGAATTTCCTCCTCAGTTTACATTTTGGTATAAAAGATATTTGAAGAATAGATCGAGGTGATTTTTAAGGCTGTGAACTCAGGACTTTATGAGGGATCACTGAAAACTCCCTCCCAATAAAGTCATGTGTGTTGTGTCATTATTCCCATGCCTCTCCTCTGGTCTGAGAGATAATTTAAGGTTCACGCTGGTCCCAGACTACAACACATAGCACCCTGCCAATGTGGGACTGATCGGTGAATCCTAAAAAAAACAGCAAGGAAGTTAAAGTATAGCAGAAACAAAAGCAGAGATGTCTAGAGTCTGTAGGCAATATGATCGCAGAGATGCAGCTTTTATCGTTTGCTAAATGGGTAGGAAAAGTGAAGGGAATATGGCATTTGGTCCAAAAATCGCCTGGCTCCCCACTGTAGTTTCCACTAAGTTTGACCCATACGCAGGAGCCAGCTGAATCTAACCAACCTGCAGGTGAAATGCAAGCAGGAGACAGAGCAAGTTTAGAGAGCAAATTCAACCCTACACAATCATCAGCCAAGAGTCAGTCAATAGAAAAATTTGGGTTTTTTTTTTTTTGTCAAATTCATATCCAAAGAGAACTGATATCAGTTCCTTTGATCCTCATATCCATTTTCAGTCTGTTTTCAGTACTATGGTTCCGTAGTGAAGTTTAAAGTCAGGGATTATGATACATTCAAAAGTTCCTTGATTGTACAGGAATTTAGGATTGCTTAGGCTATTCTGAGTTTTGTCTTCTTATGAAGTTGAGGATTTTGGGGGGACGTCTGTAAAGAATTTTGCTGTAACTTTAATGGGCATTTGCACTGAATCTGCAGATTGCTTTTGGTAGCTACTTGTAAAGGGTGTTGTTTCTCTGATTTCTATTTCAGCTCATTTATAATCTGACGTTTTATCTTGTTGACTTTGCTATACAGAAGTTTCTCAGTTTTAGGAGATCTCATTAATCATTTCTCTCAATGTCTGCACTACTGGGGCTGTATTTGAGATTTGCATGCTTTCAAGTACACTTCTAACTTTTGCTTCTATGAGGTTCAGTATTGTTGATTTTATGTTGAGATTTTTGATTCATTTAAACCTGAACTTTAAATTTTTTAAATGGATCTATTATCATTCTTTTACATGTTGATATCCAGTTATGCCAGCATCATTAGTAAAACGTATTTTCTTTTCCCATTTTCCTATCAGTTAGGCAGACTTGCAACTTAAAAGGAGGATAGCTTACAAACTTTTAATTAGATATACAATGGTTAAAACCCTAATTACAATATTCTTATAAGAGACCTTGAGCAACTAAGTAAAATTCTTAAAGGGAGCAATGAGCCAATTTCCAATAGAGAGCTTATAAAAACTGCCAGACAGGTACTCAAGCAGATAGAGTATATTAATTATGATTCAGCTATGGCAAGTGTGTATATTAAGTACAAAACTTATTTTACAGCAGTTTCATGGAAAAATGGAACATCTTTTATGTCTGCATCTTCCTATTTTTGCCAGCTAAGATAGTGAACTCTTAATTTAAAGCAGTAGCTTGTCTAATACAGGAGAGCAGGATGGAATCTAGGAGATATTTCAGAAGAATACTGATTATGACCAATGTTTCTTATACTAAGCAATAGATTAATTGATAATTTTAGAATAATGATTCTTAGACAATTGTGTTTGCTCAGTTTAAAGGCCAGAGTAATAATCTTTTCCCAGCTGATCGTTGCTGCTATTCACATAACTATATTTTGCTAATGTTATAGCTGAAGATCCCTTAAAGAATGTTATGTTAAATTTTACACATGGCTCTTCCAATGGAAGTACTGCATATATGGTTAATAACGAATTGTGGAGCATGCCATAGCTCCTTGAAAGCAACTTAAAAGGAAAAAAGTTGCAGACAGATCTGCTGCAGACAGATCTGGCATGGTGACACCAAGGTGACATTTGTTAAGGCAAGGTGAAAATGCCCTTGCAATGACTTATAAAATGGCCTGGCCCTATATTAATATGGGGGTCAAGGATGTATTTGTGCTTTTTTTCACAGAAAGAAAATAAAGATGAATGAGATGACTGCATATGCAGTAACAGAGTGACAGACCTGATGACGTTGTAGCTGCAAATACCCCTGTAAGGAGAGGAAGGAATTGGAGAGGAGTCCCTGGTCCATTTTTCTCCAACCCCACAGAGAGAAGTGCCTGGTCCTTGGGACCTGCCAATGCTGATCTGCATTGCAGGATGCTGAGCTGCTTCCAGACACTTGTGACACACACAGACCCAGGCAGAGGCCATACTACATGATGACTACAATTTTGCAGTCTGAATCCTGTTTGCTTTGGAACTGAAATGTAGACTGAACATTTGACTGTTTTAATCTTTGGGACACAGAACTTGTTTTGATTAAAATGTTGGACCTGAGAACTAAGACCTAAGCTTTCCCTTCAGGGAAAGAAAGACTCAAAACAAAGAATAACTGAAGCCGCTCTGAAGTTAGAGGGGCACAGTCTAAGGGTTTAACTGCTGCGCAGAGACTGGAACTGGTGTCTGATAACAGCAATGTCATTGGACTCTCACCCATCAAAAAAAAACTTTTCTTGTCCTTTTATTAATATAGATTTAAGAAAAATTGTGATATGTTAAATTATGAATTTATTGTTCGTTCCCATTCTAGAATTATGGTATTGACCTGATAATGTTTGTAACTGCTTATAAGATGTTGAGAAAAGTTTGACACTCCTGTAAATGTTTGGGTTTAATTCATAAGTTAAGAATTTTGGGTTTTGGTACAATGTAAAAAATTCAAGAGGTCCTCTAGACCAGCTGAAGAAACATTTTCAACTCAGGCAATCCTCCTCTCCTTTAACTAGGAGACTACAGCCTTTAGGAGCACGATTATTCATAAAGCATTATGATCTCTCCTGACTAGAAAGTATGGCTCTGAGACACAGAGCCCATAGGTATCTCTCTCCCCTAATCTCTTTTGTTCACAGAGGTCAGCAGTTAGAGATGATTTTCAAGTTTATTCTCCCCAGATGCCTAAGACAGGAACATGCATATATGGAATGCCTATTCCAAGGATGGGTAAATTTGGGTGTATGGAAAAGTCTTTGCCTAACACCGACATGATCATCTGTCTCATTGCAGATTTGTAACAACTGGGAGTCACAGTCATTCTTTTACAAAAAGGAGAAGGGAAAGGAAGGAAAATGAAGGGAAGGAGAAAATAAGGGGTGTTCAGAACCCAGGAAATGCTCGCTGATGAAGGGTGTAACAAAAGGGATGATTTCTGTGGTCTAGGAGATGGTCTGAGGAGATAGAGCTTCATCTGCCACTAGATGAGCAGACCAAGACATACACATTTTTTCTTGTATATTCCATCTTTTTTGATTAAGTCCTCACTTTGCTGAAACACGTCTAAATCCAGCTGACATTGGAACCAGAGAAACCGCCTGTAGGAATAAGTTAACTCAATTATGAAACAGAAATTAAAAGAGAGCAGAGTGACTGAGACCTCCTTCCACACATACTACAGTTGCCCAATTCAGTGTCCCAGAATATCTTTGGCCCACATAGTAATCATACAAATACATGTTAAGGGACTCAGTTAGTCAGTCTTGGAGCTTCTTTCCTGGAATATATTCAAATATATTCCATTAAAATTTGTCCTGGAAGTTGCCTGAAATATAGTAGTTATACTCAGTTAAGTATTCTATCTCCATCCTAATATCAGCTGAAGAACCAATTCCTGTTATCACTGTATACTTTTTAAAGGCAAGATCTAAATCAACATGAAACAAGAAGATAGTTATCTACTACACACAAAAAATAAACAGTCATAAATATCTCTGTAACTTGTCTAGGCAGCCCTCATATCTTTATCATAAATGTGTGCTGGGAAAATTAGTTTGATTTTCTTTTGAAATACGTTTTGTAGCTCTAAATTCCCAGTTCAAAGTTGCAATACATCATGTTTTTGTAGATCAGGAAATCCAGAAATAGTTTTTGTAAAAATATGAGTTCTTATGAACACTCTAAAATGTCTGATTGTGCCAATTCTCACTTACATTCAAGTTCCCTGGTCTGTCACTAATTTTATTCTTTTCCATCCACAATTATGGAGCTATGGAGAAAGAAATACCCTGCTCTTTCTCCAGATATTGCCATAATCTCCTATCCTGTACTATCTTGACTGAATGACTCCCACAGCCAGAAAAAGTAGACCCCAGAAAACACAACTTCCAAAGTAAAGTACAAGTGGGGGGAAAAAAGATTGTGAGAACCAGCTTCTACCACCCACCCCTACCAGCAGCCTGTTTTCTGTCAGAGATCATAGAAGCCCAGTTATCCAAAAGTGTTCATAAAGCAATAGAAGAAAAACATAGTGTCGAAAACAAGGAAATTAAGATTTTTCCATGGCTAGGAAAGGTGGTGCACATAGCTCTCGTCACTCCTGTGTTCCAAGCTTCCACTAAGATGTCCCAATAAGCCTATGTTCAACTACTTTTCTAGTTCAAAGTCTCAAAGTCATCCATATTCCTCCAAAACCCAGCATGGTAATGTCTATCACAACAAAACCCCTCTTTGGGTACCAACTTCTATTTTACTTGCTCTTCTATTGCTATGGAGAGATACCACGACCTAGGAAACTTATAAGAGAAAGAGGTCATTGGTGACTTGCTTGCAGTTTCAGAGAGTTAGAGTCCATGATTGTCATAAAGGGAAGCACTGGGGCAGGTAGACATGGCACTAGAGCAATAGTTAAGAATGCACAACTTGGTCCACAGACAGAAGATACAGAAAGCTACCTTAGAATGGCGATGACTTTGAAACAGTAAGATATCTTCTCTAATAAGGTCACACCACCTTCTTTTTCCCCCAAAGTTCTACCTACTGTGTTATGAAGCTTTTAAATATATGAGTCTATGGCTGTCGTTTTCATTGAAATCATCACACTTGGTGTGTCTTCTTCCAAAGTCGACGTCTGTTCCCTTCACTGCTTCAAACTTTGGCTCAGATTCTTCTCCTACACTTTCATGTATTCATACTTAGCATTTGAGAAAAGTTTTGTTCAAAACTATACTACATGGTTAACTTGAACTGGTTTCCATCTCTGTCCTCCACTTTTAGGATAAAGATATCTACCAGATATCATAACAGGAAGAGTTCAAGAGTCAGAGCCTGAGTTCCTGGAAGACCTCCATTTCTTCTCATAAAGCACACGTCAGTTCCTCCTTTTTGTTAGCCTCCACTCTTTATATCTTTGTTCCCATCCCATATCAGTTATTTCTCAACTCCTTGAAGATGAAAAGTCAGTCTGTGAGCACAATTTCTTCACCTCCAGTCTTCAGATACTGAATAAACTCTGTCTTTTTCACCCACATTTCTATACAAGATGTCAGTTTTCCCATGATCCTTAGAATCTACTTTTTGCAATAATACAAGAAATATCACAGGGAGTGTTTCATGGAGAAAGTGAAAGGGCACTAGGCAGTCACTTGATCAGATACAAAGAAAGAATAATGATGGGAAACTGGTACTGCTATAGATTATATTAGAGTATTCTTGTAAGAAAATGCACAAAAATGAACACCATATATCAATAGACAGACAACATTTAAAAACATAGTTGTCTGCACCAGAAACACAATGTTAGCTCCCTTTTATGGACACACACACACACACACACACACACACACACACACACGGAAAATTTTGAGACATGCTAAAAGATTGTGAAATAAATGTAAAAATTGAAATAAAGGAAAACAGGACTGGAGAGACAGTTCAGAGTTTAAGAGCACTGGACACTCTTACAGAGGGTCCATATTCAATTCCTAGCACCCATCATAGACACACATAACCACCTGTAACTCCAAAGGGGATTCAACATCCTCTCATAATGTCTCCAGGCACTAGGCATGCTCATGTTACATAGACATGAAGGTAAAATATTTATATAGAGAAGAAGGAAAACAGTCATTCAGGGGAATTAAGTGTGATACAGATAATTCTATTTAGGGCCAAACACTCCAGAGTGTCTTCAAATAAGCAGAAATTGACCTGCTGAGATTAGGAGGTTGCCAGCCTCTGCATCTGCAATGGTTAATGAAACTCCATCTTAATTCTAGGCATCCATTTTGATACCCACTAGACATTTGTCTCTGACTGCAGTCCCTAGAGGATAAGTTCCCAATAACCCTAATTCAGTGACACCCCCCTACCCAAAAATGTAGAGCTATGACTATCTACTTGTTGTAACATGACTTTTTTCTGGGTTCTGAAACTTGTTTACAAAGATATTCAAAGATTGTTTTGAGTTGCCTTAACCACTTTACTTGGCAGAACATGAGTTTATGCTTATTTACATAGATATTAAAGATCTACTTGTGGGTTTAGCCAAAAAGGAAAAAAAAAACTTTCCCATATCTGTCCTTCACAATATGCCTGCGATTTAGCTATGAGGCTGTTGTCCTGCTAGCAGCTAATCAATGTCTTTTAAAATTATATTTGGATTGAGTCTCTGGTCTTTTCTTAGGGGTCACAAACTTCATAACACACCAGGCTCCTATCTGATCTTCAGTTTTAAGCATCTTTTCCCATTCTGTGGATTATCTTTCAAAACAAGTGTTTATACTATGTGATCATGGGGTTCAAGAAACATTCCCATGCACATAATGCTATTACCTTTGTACTCAAAACAAGAAAACCACCCTACCTAAAGGGGTTTTTAAGTCACATTCCAGAAACTTGTCGCGAGATGCAACAGAGCACCAACCAGAACAGAATGATAGTAGAAAGCAACTCCAAGAGTGTATGCATGCGCGCTACCTTGAAAAAGATTGGCAAACTGGTGTCTGATCATGTCTCATAGTCTTCACTATTTCATTTTGACATGACTATCTTGGGACTGCTGCTGTAGGGCACCTTAATTAGAGGTCACTCAGGGTTCTTCGAGTATCTGGATTTTGTCTCTGAGGGTGTCCAGTTTCCTCCCAGGGAATCTTGAGACCACTTCCCATATCACTGGACATGTCTTTCTCACTAAGCCACGCCCTCATTATGAGGCAGGAAGCTAGGCACTACCAAAAGCCCTTTCACATCTGTGTCTTGGACTCCTTGTTGCCTAGCACTGGAGACTCCACCCACTTCACTACTCACCAGTCAATTGCTGAGCTGCAGACAGAATGTTCCGGAGTGGACATGGGGCTAAAATTTCCACAGCGACCTTGTGGCCACGGTTCCACTTGGCTCAGGCTCCATGGTTGTGAAGTCACAGGTGCTTGAGCAGTTTGCTTCACCAAGGAGTGAGTATGTAGTGTCCTGCAAGATCATTGAAATTAGCCATGAGAAATGAGCCATGAGCTTCCTGTCACCCTCCCGTGTCCCAGCGCTAGAGGCATGGAAAGGTGGAATTCAAACCGTTTCTTTCAAATCAGACCGTGCCGTCCAAGTGCCGGAGACAAATCACGTGATCACTGGGGAAGCTCCAGGAAAAACTTAACCTTCTCGCTCAAAACAAGATAACCACCCTGCCAAAAGGGGATTTGAGCCGCATCCAGAAACTCGTCGCTAGATGGCAATATAACACTGATCAGACTGGAGTGAAAGCTGCGACCCAACTACAGAAGAAGACGCATGGGCACAACCTCGATACGGATTGGCGGTTTCTGATGTTGAACTTATTGACTATTTAGGGGCTGTTGCTCTAGGTAGCGGAGTCGGAGGTCGCGCAGGTCCTTCGTGTATCTGGATCATGTCTCTAGGGCTCCAGTTGCTGTCCGGTTCCCTCCACTGGACAGCACAGCACTGAATAAGTCCCTGTCGCTAAGCCACGCCCTCACTGTGACTCAGGAAGGTGAGTATCACACAGCTCAATCTTACAAGAGGAGTCTCCCTGTTGCCTGGCTCCTCACCAGCCCCTTGCTGACCTGCAGGCAGAACCTTCCAGAGTGGACACAGGGCTAGAATGTACGCAGGTACTTGTGAACAAGGTTCCACTTGGGTAGTTCAGTTTCCTTGTTTGTGAAGCCACAGGTACGTGGGCGATTCACTTTACTTAGGAGTGTGTCCTTAGTGTCCTGCAAGATCATTAACTTTAGCCACAAGGAAAGAGCCTGACTACCCCATGTCACCCTCCTGTGTCCCCGTGCTAAAGACATGGAAAGATGTAAACGAAACTGCTCCTTTTGAATCAGAGCATGGTGTCCAAACACAAATGATAAATCCTGTGGTCACTGGTGCAGCTCCTAGGAAAACTTACTCAGAGTGCTCAGCTGGCTGGGGCTGTTCTGTGCGTAGAAGTCAGAACCCCAGCAGACATGGATGGGGCTGCCACATGACACCCTGTGCCCATTTCACAAAAACTAAATTACTTATTCTTGGGACAAGTATTCTGGGCAGTTAATCCACCTACCAATGTGTCTGCATAAAGCTTGAGCCTTCCTCACTAAGATCTGTCCAAACAAGGTGTGTGAGAGAAAAATAACAATATTTGTCAGAGTCACTCAAAAGAAACAGAGACCTTCTACTGATGATTAATGAACTGAGGTGTTTAACCAAAATGATTTTGTCTATATATTATGGTTAGTGCTTCTCACCACAGAAAACTCATTCTATCATCTTGGCCAAAGCTCATCTTTATTACAATGATTAAAATACTTGGAAAGAGGTAGAACTGTTTCCCTGTGACCCAAGAATGCTGAGATGTTGATTAGATTCCCAGCATGATCCCAAAATGAGCTCTGGTCAGGAAAATCTTAGTAAACTAAGTAGGATGGTTCAATGCTATGAATTGTGCAACTGAGGCACAGATCAGTAGAAATGTGTTGGAGCTCTGCATCTGAATTGCGCAATTGAGGCACAGATCAGTAGAAATGTGTTGGAGCTCTGCATCTGAATGCTCCCAGCTCCATATCCAACACATGCTAGTAATGAACATCCTACAAGCATGAGAGTGATCATTCAATACTACTTGTAGTCCAGAAATCCTTAACTGCCCATCTATGGCCTTTTTAAAAAGAAAAGCCTAGACAAAGCCAAGAAAACCAGGATCCAGGGAATGAGAAAAGAGAATTGGTGCCTTCAATGAGGCATGTGGGTACCTGGAAATTCCAAATGACTGTTTATGGAGTCATCAGTATTGCTGTCAGGCTAACAATGCAGTACTTACTGACAATTTTGAAATAATTTGATATTTGTGAGATCTAAACATAGTGCTCATTTGAAATTCTCAAAAAAATTACAAAGAAGTTGTAAAGAGTTTTTCTATTTTGTGGGCTTCCCATCATGTCTAAACTGAGGCCTTAGGACTTCCCTTTATGCTATTCAATAGAGGCCTTGTTATTTCCAGGAACTCTGGTATCCAGAGACAGCAATATCCAAATGCACCTAGGAACCTTGAACATGTGTCTTAGTCTTTGAAGCTGAGATATAAAGGAGAACAGCAAACCTACTCTGAATGAGACTCCCTTTGCCTCCCTGAACTGGTAGGCAAGATAGGCAGCATATGATATACAAAGTTGGGATTTCTCAGCTGATACTCTGTAGCCCAAGGTCTGTAACTCTTACAGCAATTCCTTAGTGACCCATTTTACAATCTACTTCCTGGAAAACTTCCAAATGAAGGGGCAGGGAGTCATCAAACAGGGTTAAAGAATATTTAAACCTCCATGTCTCTGGTCCTTAGCTCTGCCATGGCTCCTAAAGGTGGCTCCAAGCATCTGTCCGAGGAGGACCTGATCCTTCAGGACTTCAGCCGCAACCTATCAGCCAAGTCGTCGGTGCTCTCCTTTGGCAACGCCTTCATCGTGTCTACCATCCCCATCTGGTTGTATTGGCGAATATGGCATATGGATCTTATCCAGTCTGCTGTTCTCTACAGTGTGATGACATTAGTAAGCACTTACCTAGTAGCCTTTGCATACAAGAATGTGAAATTTGTCCTCAAGCACAAAGTAGCACAGAAGAGGGACGACGCTGTTTCCAAAGAAGTGACTCAGAAACTTTCTGAAGCTGATAACAGAAAGATGTCTCGGAAGGAGAAAGATGAAAGAATCTTGTGGAAGAAGAATGAAGTTGCCGATTATGAAGCCACAACATTTTCCATCTTCTATAACAACACTCTGTTCTTGGTTCTGGTCATTGTTGCTTCCTTCTTTATACTGAAGAACTTCGACCCCACAGTGAACTACATTTTGTCCATAAGTGTTTCATCTGGACTCATCGCCCTCCTCTCTACTGGCTCCAAGTAGACCCTGTAGCTTGACCCCCTGCCTCTGTATCTTTGGGTGGTCTGTGAAGATAAAGCACACACTGGCTTTCGCCATGGGTGGCCAGGGAGGTCAGCTTGACCCTGATTTATGGGTTTGATGTGTGAAGTCACTGGAATCATTGTTTTCTGTGAGCAGGCTCTCAGCACCACAGGCAGAATCGAGAGAAAGCACTTCTTTCCTGATTATTGGCACATGAGAGACCAAAAGACTTTTGTGAACTTAGCCCTGAAATGCAGTGACCTCTCCAAGGAATTTATAGTGGTTTAAAAGGATTGTTAACATTTTCCTATGAGGACTTTAATAAATTTGTCCCCTTTTGCCCAGGGTTCCTGTCAATTATGAGCAAACTCTGATCACAGGTTTTGGGGTCTAGCTAAGAGAAGCCTCATATCATGCCCCCTACCCTCCAACATGTGGAGATTGATGTTCCATGATTTCCAGATTTGCATAACTTTACACTTATGGTCATTAACTTCATATTTCTATTTACTGTTAACCACACCTGGGCACTTCCTATAAATGGCACTTCAAAGGGAAATATTTCTAATCTTTAGTTTCTACCTGTAAACTTAAGAGGAGCATACGATACTATTTGTAACTTTAAAGATGTATTTATCAAGAGTTGAGCTGTTTATGTGCTGGTAGATGAAGTTTCAGTAGTCTGCATTAAGAACATAGGAAGCCTGGAGGGGTGTCTTTATATAGTCACCTTACTTCTCACTGTATTGAAAATTGAGTTATTGTGCTTCTGGACTTGTCCGGCTCTTTGTTGTGGTGCATTGTTATCTGAGTGCCATCACCAGGTAATGTAGAATGAATAGATGAGAAGAGATTCAGTGCTGAGTGTATTTAGGTAACATACATGAGGTAGGGTGTTTTGTTCTTCTGTTTTAATCAATATTTGGCTGGTAAAAGTTTGTGTACAGGGTGTTTATCATCTAATAAAATAATTGGATACAACATCAAGCCTCTTCTAAGTGACTGCTGCAAGCATGCCACTAGGTGGCCGAGCCTATGTAGATGGGAAGAAAGTCACCACCATTATTTGATAATATTGTTAGCAGCTCAGGAATGGTGAAACAGAGGTGCCAGCCTCAAATTTTTAATTCTCTTTAATTAGTAACCAAAAATTTGTTGGGAGAGTAATTTTGCAGGGTTTTTTTCTGTCTTGAATGTTTCCCACAGCTGTCTTTGCTTTTAACTCTCAAAAATGTCCTCTGTCTCTGAGCCCCCAGATAAATTTCTGTGTACAAAATGATAGCCAGATCATCAGCTCCCTTAAAGGATTTAATGTCTGAATCTTTCACACATAGAAATGTGGGCCCTGTTCCCTAGTCTATTCTCCATAGTCGAACATGGCAAATATTATGAAGTGCTGAGTTAGACATACATAGACAGTAAAATCCTAATCCTATGGCAGAGTTTCTGTTTTAAAAGGACCCCCTATGTAACACCAGTAAAACAGGACACTCAAAAGTGCTTGCTCCCCCCCCCCATATCTGTGATAGGTAGAATCTTAGTGTTAAGCATTTTCATTTCTTGATTTACTCATTGCTTAATAGAAATCTTGTATCTAAATTTACAACTTGTACTGTTTGGTATATTGTGTGAACTTGGGAAGAATACTTTGAAACAGGATTTGAAGTTAATTGAAATAATGGAAGTTGAATTTATATTCAACATTCTTACAAAAAGCATTGTTTTTTAACAAGTATGACTAAACTGTTTTAAAAAAAAAGAATATTTAAACCTTTTGGGCAACTTGGTCTACGTAGGTTGCCAGCTGTAACCTCCTGTGGTTCTGTCCATTTAAAAGCAAAGATAGGTTGACAGAGCTCTGCCAGTGGGAGGCCGAAGGATGAATCTTTCAGATCCAAGACAACATACACCTATTTCTCTGGAGGGATCAGATTCACAATAATTAGCATTCCCAGGTTTCTTCATAGGCAGGAGAGGTGTATTCCATGGTGACGACCAGGGTTCCCGGATACCTGACTCTCTAAGCCAGGCAATATGAACTGCAGTCTCCATATTTGTTTCCAGGGCCATTAAATATTGCTTAGTCTGTATGAGATAACTGAATGAGTTAGTCAAACAATCAAAACCATCAGTCTTCAAGATAGTTCAACTGTATCTTTTGATTGGAGGCAGGACTTTCAGCTAGGAGATTTTTCTTCTGATAAAACATTAAGACACCAAAATTTTCCTGGATGTCTTGAAGTCCAACAGTGTCTCATCATCAGAGAAGCTGAAGCTGGCTTTCAGTTTATGAAAAAGTTTTTGCCCCAATCATTTCCCTGTTGTTAAACACCTTTTGAGCTATCCACAGAAACTGGGATCTACTTACACCTTTAATTTTTTCTAACTTTTTTTTTGAGGCAGAGTTTCTCTGCATGGCCCTGGCTGTTCTAAAACTCACTCTGTTAGAACAGGCTGGTCTCAAACTCAGAATTCTGCCTACCTTTACATGCTGAGTACACAGATTAAAGCTGTGTACCATTACTGCCGAGCTGATTTTTCTAACATTTATTACTTTACATCTAAGGCTAAATTGGTGACGAAGGAAATCTTTTTTAACAGCACTTGGTTATTCTTCTAAAAGAAGACGTAGGGGAAAATGTTTAAAGGCTCCCTGGTCAATGTTGGAAAAAAGGAAAAATTTGTTCTGTCCATTTTGCCTTGCTCAGCGTCAACGTCCCCATCTTTTGCCCTCCCTTTTGCAGGCCTGTGTGTGGATTTTTATTTTTTGAGAGAAATTTAGTTTTCAAGTTTTCCAATTATACAGGTCATTTATTAAGAAGAAAACATAAATCATGAAAGAGAGAGGAAAATAATTTTCTCTTTTCCCCTTCCCTGAGACTGCTTAGAGAATGCAGATTAACAGAAGAAATATGCACCCCAGAGAACTAATTCCCCCTCTCTCTGTGCATTCTGCTTAGATGGCAGAGGATGCAGAACAGGAGACTTGACCCTTCACTGTCTCCACACAGGGACCAGGAATAACCCTGACACTTAGCAAGAGACAAGGGATTTTAAAGAGTGAAAACTCAGAAAGTAGGGCCATTTTTTCCCCTTCGGCTACCTGAGAGATCCAAAAGAATTCAGATCCCAAACAAGAGGGCACAAATCTTAAGCCAGGAGGGTCTCACAGCAGAAAAAAAAAGAACTCATCAATACAGGGAAACAAAACTGATAGAAACATATAAAAACACACACACACACACACACGAGTAAAGACAAGCAGGTATGGAAACCACACATTCATATACCTCAACAGAAAGAGGAATCAGGTGACACCTCACACACATCCAGGATACTGGATCAGAAGTCATATCTGACCTCTCCTATATGTCCAAAGAGAAAATATCTTAACCAGATTTAACCAGAGAAATGACAGATTGGGTAACATTCTAATTTGTTTCCTTTCAGGGTAGAGGTGTCAGAGTCCTCTCAAGCATTTGGCAGAGATTGAACAAAAAGAGTCTTAGGGATCTGAAACTCAGATTGCAAACCCCGTAGGAGTTCCTTGATCACCACACTCTTCCCAGATCCAAGGGACTCTGAAACCCTGAGTATTTCCAGGTATGATCTCTGTGGAACCTCCAGAAATATTGTGAAGTCCCCACCAGCAAAGACTGCTCAGACAAAGGTTTAAGCCAATAGAAGTCTTTGTTAGCTGACTGGCAACTACGTTGAGATTTCCTGATCCAAGCATAACACTGAGCCTTTCTCAAGGAGAGGTTTTAAGCACACACACAAAAAAATAACCTGGGTTGACATACTTCATTTAACAAGAATAATTAGCCATAAGTGGAACTAAAAGAAGCCACTAAGCAAAGTTAGTACATTTAAAGACTTTCCCAGAACTATAGACTCTGGTAGATTAGGTCTTTGTTATCATTTTGGCAGGTGGTACTGTATATATACTGAGTTTTACCAAATGGCACATACATCACGGAGTCAGTTGTTCTAAGGTCTGAAGGTTTAAGAAAGTCTGGGGCCCTGTTATGATAGTTGTGCCCAACATGATATAAGTATCTCTCATTCAATCATAAATACAATATACATTTAGAGTAGGTAACGATGTCCATGAGAGACATTCTTTTAGTATCTCAACCTCAAATGTGATAACCAATGATATTCTCTTAATTGACATTAGATCACATGTAAAAAAACTGAGGAAAGAAAACACAAATATCTGTATGAATGCCTTAACAAAATTCTACAGAAATATTCATACTAACTATTGTTCTCATTTTTGCAACTTGTTACACAGCCTTAGATGATATTTAGAACTGCTTTCTTCTATTAATCATTCTGTATTTCCTCCACCCTCAGCAAACACCTAAGCAGATTTTGGCTCTCTTTCTTGAGGAGTGGCATATACATTCATTCCTACTGGGTCTGTGATCTTTGTCATCCTGCCTGGATAAGGCTATTATCGTTTCCCATTGACTTTTTTTTATTAAAAATTTCCACCTCCTCCCATTTCCATCCCTCTCTCCCTTCCCCCTCCCCCTCCCTCTCCAGTCCAAAGAGCAGTCAAGGTTCCCTGCCCTGTGGGAAGTCTAAGGTCCTCCCCTCTCTATCCAGGTCTAGGAAGATATTCATCCAAACAGACTTTAATCGCAGGACAAGGTAGTACTAAGAGACGCACTAAAGAATATCCTGCACTCCAAACACAATCTTTCCTACTTCCATTTTGGAGAAGCAATTTAATTTACCCATGATAATCTGGATCAATCAACCTCCCAACATTGTTATTTTTTTCTTAGTCTGATGGCTTAAATGTTATATAAGTTGAAAGTGTCCAAGGAGAAATCTGAGCTTCCAGTTCAATGGAATGTCCGTTGTGGCTCCTTGAGGAGTGTCCCCCCTCAAACCAAACTTCTAGGCTAGCAGAACTTAAGGTCGGGGGAAAAGGAAGCAAATTTTTTTCTAGTGGGTAACTTGGGATGATAGTGAGTGATCATATTCTCCTTTCCACCCTTTGATTTCTGAACCCATGGATTGTGGCCATAGAAGAAACCATACCATATATTAGGTATTGATTCAATGCATATACCACTTCCTGGAGAATCCTGTCCAAACTCTCCACACTGTTGCCATCTGTGTTTCCAAAAGGCAGTTCTTTGTTCTAACATGTCAACTCTTTCAGGATAGTGGAGAACATGGTAAGGCCAGTAGATTCCATGATCCAGGGCCCACTGCAGTACTTTTCTGGTCGTGAAGTTTCTTTATCAGAAGCAATACTGTGTGGAATGCCATGACACTGGATAATGTAAGTCCACTGATGGTGGTTTTGACTGAAATATTA